TCATTTTGTAACCATGAGGGTACTTGGGGGATTAATTTCCAAGGGAAGGACACCTTAGACAACTTTTGTGATTGGTTATTTTCTGAAAGTCACGGTGGTGCCGTGGCCACTGCCCACAACACCAAAGCGTATGACTCTCATTTTCTCCTCGATCATCTCATGAGTAAATGGATCATCCCTGAAGGGATCATGAATGGGGTGAAGATCATGAGTCTACGTACGAAAGACCCCAAAATCATAGTCAAAGATAGCCTGAACTTTTTTCAGATGGGGTAGCAAAATTACTTAAAACGTTTGGCATCGAAGGAATGAAAAAGGTTTCTTCCCTCGTCTATTCAATACAGAGGAAAATGAAAATTATGTACATGTAGGTCCCCTCCCAGACAAAAGTACTACGATACAAGTTCCATGATGAAAAATGTCCTCCGTGAATTTAATGAATGGTATGACAACATGCCCAAAGACTACGTCTTTAATTTCCAACATGAAATTTTGGAGTATTGTTAGAGTGACGTTAAAATATTACACGAGAGCTGTAAAATATTTAGGAATCATTTCAAAGAGATTTAAGCAAGACCAAAACGAATGAGAATTTCATCGACCCCTTCCTACGTAGTCTCACTCTACCAAGTGCCTGCAATCTGACATGTATATACGTACGAAATTTGAAAATTTGACATTTTGCTCCCTTGGAGGGGGGGGGGGGGGGGGGGTAAGGTCAGCTTTTTTAGGTCAGCCATGGGAATTTTTTTTTTTTTTAATTTTTTTTTTAATAAAAAATAAAAATTTAAAAAAAATCCAAAGGGGGGGGGGGGTTTAGGGGGGTTATGGGGGTTATTATATTATTAAATAATTACCAAGTGACATCGTAATTCAAATCGTGTCCAAGCACTTCATTTCTGGATTTGTCTCTTTGTATTTTATATTTTCATAATATAATTTCGTACACTGATACAGTGGTTTATTTGAGACTAACCCCACCCCCGAGTGCAAGTCATATAGCTAGCGGACCAATACAAAAACCTGATTTCACTCGGAGCCCGAATCTATTATTACATCATAATAGAAGACGGCGTGGCGTGGGCGTGGCGTGGCCGTTAGACGGAACCCACGACCTCTTCGCGTTATCAGCACGAATGCTCTAGTAGGATTTTGGTTTTAAATATTTCAAAAAGCTGTAACGCTCCCAAAATAGTTTTTTAAAAGACAGGTTTGATGCCAAGTCCCTGTCAGTAAAAAGTGCTTGTATATGTAGTGTTTTCGTTTTGTAGAGAGTTGATCAATTGCACACGTTTGCCTTGTTTGTAAAGTAGCCATGAGCATAATAAGTTGCATTTTTCTTTTTATGTTGGTTTCTGTGAATCTGTTTGGCATGCCTCTGGTTGATAAACTTTGTTGTCAGCTGTGTGAGTGTGGAGGAGATAATGACAATGAAAAAGATGATATCATAGTTGACAGGTGTATTTTGAAGAATTTAAAACATTCTGTATTTCCAAGCCGAGCGAAAATTAAGATTTGAAATGTCCCCATTCGGCTAGATTTTAACAAGCACTGACTTATCCTTTATTTTTTTGCTGTTGATTTATTTAAGGTAATTTAAATATGTTGTAGTAACATTATGGCAATTCAAAAAGTTTTAAAATAGAATGATACATTTTGTCCTGTACTGTAAGTAACGTGTAAGTCTCTTTTTTAAACCCGAGTAATTTAGTATTGTCAGAGATCAGGGATTTTTAATTGTGTCAAGGAGAAGGAATTGTTGTTTTAAGTTGCGCAAATTAATTTTGAATGGGGTGAAGATCATGAGTCTACGTACGAAAGACCCCAAAATCGTAGTCAAAGATAGCCTGAACTTTTTTCAGATGGGGTAGCAAAATTACTTAAAACGTTTGGCATCGAAGGAATGAAAAAGGTTTCTTCCCTCATCTATTCAATACAGAGGAAAATGAAAATTATGTACATGTAGGTTCCCTCCCAGACAAAAGTACTATGATACAAGTTCCATGATGAAAAATGTCCTCCATGAATTTAATGAATGGTATGACAACATGCCCAAAGACTACGTCTTTAATTTCCAACATGAAATTTTGGAGTATTGTCAGAGTGACGTTAAAATATTACACAAGAGCTGTAAAATATTTAGGAATCATTTCAAAGAGATTTAAGCAAGACCAAAAACGAATGAGAAGCTCATCGACCCCTTTCTATGTAGTCTCACTCTACTGAGTGCCTGCAATCTACTCTGGCATGAAACCAACTGGCATGAAACAGTAAGATCATGTATGAGAATTATATGCTGACATGTATATATATTTGTGTATCCAGTAAAATATATGCTGACATGTATATGTATGTATCCTGTATGAGAGTTATATGCTGACATGTATATGTATGTATCCTGGCATGTATATTTGTATATGCTGACATGTATATGTATGTGTCCTGGCATGTATATTTGTATATGCTGACATGTATGTATATTTGTGTATCCTGGCATGGGAAATATTGTTTTCACAGCAACATTGAAGAAAGTATCAAAGGGATTCAAAACGAGCCAAATTGTATTTGAGAAGGGAGAGGTACTCCGAAATGCCCCAAACCAGCCTGGTGGCATCAATCACCAGAAGATCTGTGTGTATATAATGCACCATTGGCATTTCACACACCAAGAGATGGTGTAGAGCAACGGGGGAGGACATTCATCATGTTGGGGTATATGTCCTATTTCATGTGGAATTGCCCACATGCATGGTAGCATGCTGTGCGAGGTACACTCAGTACCTGTATACACTGTCATACACATATACAGAAAGACAGCAGCATGGAGAAGGGACTAAAGGCCAGGAAGAAAAAAAAAGGGAAATTGGCAAAAGTCAGAGAGGGACTTTCTTATTGACTTGATTTCAGAGAGGATTGATATAATAATATCGAAACAGACGGATCATGGGACAAAAGAGAAAAAGGAGGTGGCATGGCAGGAGATTTCTGGCCTATTTGATGCTAGATTTGGCAACAAATGGAGCCTTACCTAAAACAGGACCTTCGGAAAAGGTTAAGGATAACAGCTAAAAAGGAGGTTTCTGCTTAAAACCAGGCAGTGAGGAGGACTGGCGGTAGGCCACCACCCTGAGAACCATCAGCAATATCATTGCTCATAAAGGACAGTTAGCCAAAGATATTCAAGAACATTCCAAAGGCCTCCAGTTTACCACAAAGGTAAAGATTATGCGCAAGACTTGACATTAGCAGTGTTTCAAGGGCACAGAGGACCTTTGTCCAATAGACTTTCATCAGGTCAGGAATCCGTACGATGACAATGCCAACCTGGACAACGAGGCTGTCAATGTCCTGCAATTTGTTGCAGTCAAACCACTCCCAACAAGTGAGAAAGAAAGTTCTCATGATATTGTTATTATTCATAATCACCTTATTACATTTTCTAGGAATTTAATATACAGTTAAGTATCTACATTGAATAAATGCTTGTTAAATTGTAACAAGAACTAGCACAATCTCTTCATTTATGCTCCTTGCCTCTGAGAAACTGATCCCAACACGACATGGTGGAGGACCCGGCTTCCTTAACAACACAGCTTGTTGCAGCTTATTTTCTCCTGTAGACGGATTCAAGAAAGGAGTTGCAGTCTTCTTCAAACAACACTGTTCGAGATATTTTGAATTCCGCATTAACCGATGGGCAATTTGCAGAAAGGCATGGATACGGATCTAGTGTGCACAAACTAGCAAATCATATTTTGTTGAGAGTAGAGGAAGACGCATTCCACAGTACGAGTAACAATATAGTATGCAATACGTTGGACCTAGTTGACGGATTAGGTCAAACTCCAATCGGTGCAGGCCTCCAAGATGAGACATTTAAACAATTTCATATCATTCGCACATCAAAGGAGAAAAAAGGGGAATGGGACACATTTGTATCGAACTATCTTGTGTGCCAATAGTAAGCAATTTGCTATACCAATAGATTTTGGAGAAATTGCTGGACTTTGTGATATAAGTGAGGCTTCTGAACTACAGAGAAAGGTGACACTACGTTACAGAGACCCGAGAGAGATGTTATTTGTATCTCGAATTCTAGACATTATAATTGTGTTAAAAGTGCTAAGAATCTACGTTGAATAAAATGCTTCTTAAATTGTAACCAGAACTAGCACAGTCTCATCATTTATGCTCATCGCCTCCAAGAAACCGATCCCAGCACGACAATACATCACCATGTCTCAGAAATAAAATAATATCACTTTGGTATTCATCAGTCCGGAAAAAAGGATCTCTGTGATCTCTAAGAGAATCTTAAATTACAAGAAAGAGATTATCAAGGATGCCGTTTTCTACAAGGAAAAAGAGTTGTTCAGAAAGCACCGTAGACTGCTTTTTTATGGTATTTTGACACGTTTTGTTTAGAAGATGCAAGTTTATCTTTTCTGGCCATCCCTTCAACTTTTGCCCCTATAACTTTAACATGCTTCACTTTTTTAAACTCCAAATCTAATTAATGTATACAGAAGAATATAACTAACAATGAGTTTAATGGATATGCAAGCTTTAGTTTTTGAATTATTGACAGTTCACATCTGATTGGTAAATATTGGTAATTGTCATGTCATGCATGGTATAGACCGGTAAGATTGTGGTTCAAGGGTTTTGGGTGCAAAATATCCATTCAATATTGTTTAAATATTGCCTTCAGAGGTTTAGATGACAATACTTTGACCTAAATTTGCAAAAAAGCAGAAATATATGCCCAAATGTTCAATGTCGAAGTGCATTTGTGATAATTTACTAAATATATCAATTAGTAGGCGGTTTTCCTGGCAAAATTTGTATCATTACGTATTAGTCAAAACATATTCTTTCACATGATTGCTAATGAGAGCTTCCATTTCTTTTTTTGAGAGGGGGGGTGGGTGGTTCCATGAGATGTAGTACAAACCCCCCCCCCCCCAAAAAAAAAAAAAAAAAAAATCTAAACTAACAAGTTTTTAAGCAGTAGTAAGCTATAATGTACCAACACATGAGCTTTGTGTATCCAGTTGCCATGGTAATCATGCATATTATATGGGGCAAAGCCTTTCTTTACATATTGAGAACAACTTATATAGATTTTGAATACATAGTTTTTTACAAGAGAAGCAAGATGTAGTACTTATTTTCTTAAATGTCTTATGTTGAATGCTCTACATTAAAATAAAAAATATACTAACAGACTTTATGGCATTAGTTACCGTGGTACAGCTGTCATTCTAAAGAAAAGAAACAATTAATGAGGCACAAGTCCCTACATAGTAGCATGATAATAAAACAATTAATGAGGCACAAGTCCCTTCGTGGTAGCATGATAATAAAACAATTAATAAGGCACAAGTCCCTACATAGTAGCATGATAATAAAACAATTAATGAGGCACAAGTCCCTACATAGTAGCATGATAATACAAATCCTGTCATGAGATTGGTTGACAATTTAAATCAAGAACAAGATGATGAATATGAGGAGCATAAGACTTGACATGCTCTATGTGCATCATCTTCACACTCCAATTATTACCATGCTGCTCACACAGGAGTTCCTTGATTGTCTTCACTGCATGACAGCCCCACTCCACCCATTTCCCTTGCTTGAACTCAGAACAGTTTTCACATAACTTCTTATCAAATACATCACTTACGCAGATTCCCTGGTCGGTACCTTGAGACTCTTCTCTCAACTCTAACCCTCTTACATTCAACTCTTTGTTTGATGAGGAGGAGGAAGAGTTGTCCCTGTCACTACCGGATTCTCCTTGAAGAGTGTCACCCGTCTCACCGTGTGTTGAGCATGCCATACTGTCTACAGGCAACATGTCTTCAGCCATTACTGGTGAAAAGTCTCTTGATTCACCTTGAAGATGAGCTGCAGTCCTTCCACAGGCAGACGTTACTTCTTCATACACACACTCCTCTGTGAGACTACTCACTGTGTAGTCTTCACTACAGGGATCAGGGTTGCTAGAAGAAATATCCAAGCACTTACTATCACTTGGATCGCTCCATTCCTTATGAGGGTAGGAATCTACATTACCATGTATGTGCAGTACACCTCCAGTAACAGGGTTCAATGCTGCACAGGCCACTGGCCACCCCTGCTCCGATAATGGTATGAGCCCGAGGTTCACTCTGTCTGCAACTCCTACTGGACACACCTAGAAAACAAAACAAAATGAAACTTAACAGGACTTGATTACATTGTTCAGATGAGAGAAAATGGTGCTAAGGTAGTGACTTCAATGCTAGGTGTACAAATAAAGATAATGTTAGAGGGTTAGTACAGTAGAATCTTAATAAGTAACATTTCATACAAAAAGTATGCATTTTTGTCATCAACTTTTAACAATGTTACCGAGTCACTTAAAAACTTTTCATCGCAATTTCTCCTTCTCTTCTAGTGTTAGCTATTTATTGGACTGTTTAATTTGCTGATGACCCTCCTTATTCCAGTGAACATATTAATTGACTCTTTCTATTTAAAAAGACTTTTCTGCAATCACCCAGTATCCTCATAAGCATAGCATGATAACGGTTCAAATTGATCCGTAAGGCAAGGAGCTTTATGCCTCTCCATATGTAAGCAGCAACCCTGTTTTGTTTTTGCTCTTGCTATGAGCCCTTTAACCCTATAAAGCCAAGGGAGGGAGAGGGGGTGCTTTAGAACCCCGCCCTCCTACTCCCCCATACATTTGTTGCAATAATTTTTTCCATTGAATATTATGCATTTTCGTGCTGGGCCCATATGATCAGGGAGATGTGTACCACCTAACTTATTCTTAACTGTTTTTTGGAGAGCTATAATCTCACCTTTCTGTTGTCTCCCTCTAGGATGATACACCTGTCGTTCACACCGTTGAGCTTGAGGTTTGTACGCAAGGCCTTGACAGCATGTGGGTTCCACTCACAGGCATAGAGAAGCTTAGCCTTAGCATGCACTAGGTATGGCAGTGTGAAGTAGCCTATACCTACAGGATGATATAAGGTACAGACAGATATATATTAACACTGTTGAGCTTGAGGTTTGTACGCAAGGCCTTGACAGCATGTGGGTTCCACTCACAGGCATAGAGAAGCTTAGCCTTAGCATGCACTAGGTATGGCAGTGTGAAGTAACCTATACCTACAGGATGATATAAGGTACAGACAGATATATATTAACACTGTTGAGCTTGAGGTTTGTACGCAAGGCCTTGACAGCATGTGGGTTCCACTCACAGGCATAGAGAAGCTTAGCCTTAGCATGCACTAGGTATGGCAGTGTGAAGTACCCTATACCTACAGGAAAACAAAGGTACAGCCAGATATTTATTAAAGGTATTACTAAGTTTTGGTATGGGATCCTTAATTTGGTTAAATGAACATAATATTCAATGATCGTTGTCACAGTTGAAATCGTGTCTAAATTGATGAAATTGTAAATAATAAACTCTTTATGTTGTATAGCGCCCTCTCAAGACTGATATATCAGGTGAACTTAGGCTACGCAGGTGGAGGCATCCAAGCAAGTTACGAAAAATTTCACCTCAACCCCCACCTACCCCCCCCCCCCCCCCCCCCCCCCTAATTCTAATCAGGATTTTACATTGAAATCAAGGACTATCCATTTTTGGAGTAAAACAAATCAGCAAACCGATTTAAACAATTATCAGGCCTGGAGATGTACATTGCTAGTACATAAAAAGGCTTATATAGATGTTTGTTTCCCTTGAAAATGGTTTCTTATTGAAACATGTACTAAAGGCACCGGTTTTAAAAGACCACCTGCCTATGAAGACCGCTTTTCTTGTCTCCCATGGGTGGTCTTTATAGACAGGTTTCACTGAATATTATATATATATATTTATAAGATGATGACGTGGATCCTAATCAAATGATTGGTCGAGAGCGTACAAGTAACCATGCATTTTTTTTGCCTAACGCGTAATGTGGATAATGACCGGTCATTATCCAATGGTAATGACCGGTCATTAGTAAAATCATGTTATAAAACATAATTTTATAAAACAAATAAAACACAATCTTATAAAACTAATAATAATCTTTTTGTATGGGCATTAATAAAATTACCCACACTCAGTACCTTCAAAACAGTCCAAACACCCTTGACTACCGTTTCGGGCGTGTTAGACTGTTCCAAAGGTACCTTGTGTGGGTAATTCTTACTAATGCACTTACTGCTGTGTATTATTTGAAACATGTACGAAGGCACCCGTCTACAAAGACCATCAGCCTTTAAGACTACTTTTCTTGTCTCCCTTGGATGGTCTTTATAGACAGGTTTCATTGTATATTTATATACCTGCATATAAGTCAACCACTGTCTCGTTGGAGCAATCTAGACTAGCTATCCTCAGCTTCTCTGTGATGTTACCTGATGAAAACATACTGTAGCGAATGTCAAACGTGTAGCTGGAAATAAAATAAAACAAAAGATAAAGAGGAAGAGAGAGGAGAGATACATGTAGGTAGAAAGAAAGAAACAGGTACATGTGAAGAGGGGGAGGAGAGAAGAGAGAAAAAGAAACAGTAAGGAAACAGTAACGTGCAGATAGAGAATACAATTGCTATACGACAGGTGTACATGCTTAATGACAAATGATTATGGTGTTTTATATACTGTAAATGCTGTTATTTTTGCGTGATTAATTTTTCGTGCTGAGCGACCCAAAAACATATTCGCTGGTTATTAAATTTGCGTTGCACCAAATTCAGCCTGTTCAGAACATACATAAAAAATAATGTTTATATTTATGCGGGTTCTAAAGTTCGCGGAAACAGACTTTAGCACAAATCCGCGAAAATGAATGTACCGCAAATATTACTGTGTTTACAGTACATATATGTACATGTACAACAGATTTTAAAATGTTTAATTTAAGAAATATTCAAGGAATTCCCAACCATAGGTTGTTTCTTTTCCCCTACTACACACCAGGCCTCTCGCCTAGAAATTAAAAACGTGTGGCGCGACCCGAGGGAAAATTTGACCCCCCCCCCCCCCCCCCCCCAAAAAAAAAAAAAAAAAGTAAAAATTTGATTTTTTTTTTTTTTTTTTTTTTTTTAAATTTAAATTTAAATTTATTTTTTACAAGTATTACAACTAATTTGATGAATTTGTAATACCATACCTGCCAACCCTTACGAATAATTCAGAATATTCTGTTTTTTGGGGATATCTAGGACCAGAAAATCTGGAATTTTCGGATTTTTCAACAAAAAAAAAAAAAAAAAAATCTGTGTACGCGAGGGCCATGCTACACACAAACACAACACTTCTAGAGCTCCTTCTACATGAATACCACTCCACCTGTTCAACCCAAAGAGAACCTTACATGATTCCGTTGTCTCTGTGCTCCACGGATGAATCTGATCCTAGAAGGAGGTCCGTTCTGGGAGATCTGAAGTCATCGGATTGAATACGCCCTCTTCTGGCAATCCTTGTACAGTTTAAAGTGGTAGCCACTGAGGACCATATGTCTGACCTGCAAGATGACAATTGTTTTCAAACCTAACATTGAGTATTAAAGCCACAGTGTCCTACGTATAGCAACTTGCTCCCTCTATATAGAAAACTTCCCCAATTGGTGCCTGTTGGGCCCCCATGATCCTCTATTTCTTATGTTATTTGAGAGCTGAGTTAATGAGATAACCACCTGTCAGTGACCTCGCTGGCTAGCTGGGTGGTCTAATCCCTTCTGGCTGAACTACATGTAGTACAGCTTTAAAGGAATCAGACATACAAATAACATTCCTTGACTCGAAAAAAAAAGGGAGTGGATGCGATTATCTCCCTTCAATTATTAATTCACCTAGTTCAAAATCCTTTGCAATTTATAACAACCAGTATATAATAATATCTAAGATTGATAAAGCGCTGGTATACATGTATGGTTTCTAAGCGCTTTACAAACAAATGAAATGAAAATTATGTTTAATCTAAAGTGTAATAAGCATCAACAAGAAAGGACACAAAACGTAGGACCTCATGCGTTATACTTGGGGGGGGGGGGGGGTGGTACTAAAATTAAATATGAATAGCAATTGTAGCATACTGTACATGTAACAGGGAAACAAATACACAGGGGCTTGGGGCGAATAAGCCCCTGAAATGCCAAAAAAAAAGCACCTGAAAGTAATAAAAGAGCCCCCCAAAATTTGCATAGAGTTCAATGCAAAACAAATTAAAGAGCGTGATTTTCATGCAAACAACCTTGAAAAGTAGCCCCCGATATTGTTTGAATATTTTTTTCCCTGACAAAACATGATCAATTTTCTTTCAAATGTCCCCTAATGATGTAAGATTGTACTGATCCGTTTTTACCTACACAGGTATGAATATCATACATGTAACATGATAAATTTTTCTTTCAAATGTACTGGGTATTAAAACCCTTAGGCACCTCACACATGAAGCTATAGTGGGATAAACATAATGATCTAAGATTGTAGAGAGCTGTTTACCTACACAGCAGTCCATGCAGGATGTTGAAAGCAAGAGGAAGGCAGCAGCACTAGATCTCCATGCCTCTCCCAATGGTTAGGGATCTCCTTTGCTAACTCCTCCTTCCAATGCAGCGCTCCTTCCTTCACCCATCCATCTACCATCCTTCTTAGCCTATCATAAGGTGTAGTGTGTTTGGCTTTCCTTGAGAGGGGTAGGTCCATACAAACCAGCTTCGCTTCAATGTCTAACAGTCTTCCACTCCAGAGAACCTGTGAGTGTCCATGTGCTGAGCTGATGGAGTGTTTGATACCACTCTTCAGGCATAAACCCTCACCTGCATCATCTGAAGCTGATGGAAGAAGGGGTCTGCTACCACTCTCTGATGGCTTTGCTACATCTAGGTATGGTAGAGTGGTAGTTTGCACTTTCTCAAGTGAAGCACGGCAGCACGGTGGATCAGTCTGTGTCCTTTTATTTGATTGTACACCACTCTCTGAAGAGGTTGGCTCAGCAAGTCCTGCAGACTGGTGTGTTCCCATCTTTGATCCTTCATCACCATCTCTGTTATTATGTGATGTATGAAGAAATGAGTCCTTTCTGTGCAGTCTCTCTGTGCTCAGCAAGGCCTGTCTACACTCAGCATTAACAGGGATGGCTATGTGGTCATTGGTAACTTTCGTCAGACGTCTGCTAGCATCCCAGTATGATAGTTCTTCAAAGTGCTTCCTAAACAGAAATAAAAAGGAATAAAATAATCAGTTTCAGAGGTTACATTTGGTCCTGACTATACTGATTAAAGAGTTTAACTAATTTTTGTTCACCTCTTCCCAGAACTCCACCTTCTCTTTAAGTAGATTGTTCAATGTTCAGTTGTGACCCTCTGGGTCCACATAACAAACCACAAAATGTCCCTAAAATTCATGCCTATTTTCGACTTGAAAAGAGCAGGCCTTAAATTTCGTCATTTTTAGGGCAAGGCCAGTTTGGCCTCGAGTACCTCATATTTTTAAGGGCACCAAGGCCAAAATATTTTTACAAAAAGGGCATCGAGGCCAAAATATTTTACAAAAAGGGCATCGAGTATGAGGCCAAAAAAATTGATTCTATTTTTGTTAGATGTCATGTGTATTTTATGAAACTTGTGCAGGATCAATTTCCCATGACTTTTAGCACCAGCTTCTTCACAGAATGTATAGAGGTCTACGGTACATACAAACAAGCAGGCGCGTAGCCACGGGGGGGGGGCACGGGGGGCATGTGCCCCCCCTAAAATTTCCAGGATCGGTTGAAATTTTGTAGACCCCTTTTTTTGACCTCGATCGATTACATGTATGTGCCCCCCCAAACACCAAACTCTGGCTACGCGCCTGCAAACAAGGCGGCGGCCCGCAAGCCTTAGATTTAGCAGCCAGGAGCAAGGGGCAATTTTTTTTTTAAGTTGCCCTTTGCCACGGGAATTTACCAGAGCAAGGGGCAATTTTCCAAAAACAGATAGGCCGCTTATCTAATCATAAGTTCAAAGAGAGTCTACAAATGTTAATTTCATAATGTGAATAGATCGAACGATCAATTTAATAACTTTTTAATCTTAACAATATGAACAGGAAAGATTGATTAAGAACATCAAACTTGCACACTAAACAGTATTTTAAAGTAACTAAAAATATTGATGAGCAAATGAATAAATAAATTGTCAATTTCACAAACATCGAAAGTCAGAAGGACTTAATTGGCAAGTTTACCGGGCCGGGTATTCCAAATCAAAATCGCACCTCACACACAAACCTTCCGCCACTCTCTCAGTAGTAGGAGCAAATTTGAAGAAATTATCTTTTTAACTGTTGTATAGAAAGGTCTACATAGGCCTAACTAATGAAATAAGATGTAAAAATGTCCTTATAGACATTCGACAGCTGAAAGTGACACGCTCAGCTCAGTTGCGTAACGTGCATTCACGAAACCAAAATCGTTCCTCGCACACACACTCTCGCCACTTTTGGTGGGAAGCTGTCGGGCTGGAAGTTTGCCAGCGAAACCGATGCACCCTCGGAATTTTACCGGGACTCGAAACGTTCGTCTTGGGAAGCTGGCGGGGTAGCTTTTTGAAGCGAGGTCGGCTGGTGGCAAAATGAGAGTAACTACGATCGAGAACATCGTAGGTGTTCTTAACTTATTAATAAGATAATTCTAAATTCTATTTGAGATAAAATAATAAACTAGGCCTACAAACAAACCTCGACAGATCTCTAATGACTATTTGAATGCTTGTTTATTTCTCCATTTGACGATTTGTTTTCTTGATCCTGGCCTTCGATTTGTACGTACGTGCGTGCGTCAACAGCATGCACCATAATGCATATCATGCGATCGCATGTGCGCTAGCGCATTGCCTATATAATAACAAAGGGCGCATTTTCACGGCACTTGCGCCTTATTAAAGCACTAAATACGAAGCTAGAAGAGAGCTCGTGGGCGGCAAACTGTTCGTGATTCGTGTATTTTTACTGTTCTAATAGTTTATGGGCGCATTTTCACGGAAAACACTTGCGCCATGCCGTCTAGTTTTAGATGATTATGGGCGCAATTGGTGGTTTTATGTGCGCAAATTTAAAATAAAAAGGGCACGTCTAGTTGGAAAAAAAGGCACGTCGGCCAGTTTGAAAAAAACGGCACGGCCTTTTTGGCCGTGAATATATCTTTTTTTGGGAGGGCACCGCGGCCAGTCATAGGGGCATCGACGGCCTGGCCGTCGATGGCCGTCGATTAATTTAAGGCCTGAAAGAGCATACCTTTTTTTCATCAAAGATATTTGTGTCCTACATCATGAGAAAGCTTAGACTCTCCGCTTTCCAAATATGCATGAATCATTGTAGTACCGTACACACAGCTCATTGCAAGGGATGGATTAGAGTTTGTATCGCTCCCAATGGCTATCCAGGGCCCAAAGACGGACGTCATTAATAAAGATCCAAGTCAAGTGGTTGGTTCCCAAGACAACCCACTGTCCTTAGGAGAGAGTGTGAGTTGCCATGGCTCAAGCAGACCTGCCAACTTCTGGAGTTCAAAAACTGTATTCTTTAATCCAAAAAGTTGTATTTTACTGACAAAAATTGTATTCTTAAAAATAGGGAGGCCAATGCCCAAATCTAACTTTTTAATTACTAATTTGTTTATACTAAAACTAAGATTAAAAGAAAGCATTTACTTTCACTAAGAAAATCCACCCATCTGCCGACTCCATAGGTTCCATCAAATAGGAGATATCCAGCTGGTTTGTAGCCATTTCCTTCTACGCCTTTCCGTACGTAAGAGCCTTGAAACAATTATATTTCATGTCGCAAAGTTACGTTCATAATTAGACAGGCCCGAGGGACAAAGTTCATGATGAAGTTTAAAACTTCGCGCGAAAGTGCAATCACTCAACAGCGGCTAGCCTTGAATCGGTCGCACACGTACACACCTTCTTCTTCTTAGTTGATCCCTCCACCGACACAGGCAAGCCCCGATGCAGGCTGAAGTCCAGCCATCAATGTGCGAACGATTACATCTTCTACTACTACGAGCCGAAGACGATGGTTCAAAAAAGGAAAGAAATATATATAATTCATTGATATTTACCTTAGATGTGTATTCCAATAATTTGATTTCCTCATGAGTATTCCTTATTATCAACGATCGAGAAGTTACGAGGTCCAATTAAAATCCATCTTGCAGCGAACACAATCATAGCGCACATCCATGCATGCAACGTACGTGTACTAATATTTCTCTCACTCTCTCTCTCTCTCTCTCTCCCTTTCGCTATACGTAACATACACACTCACTAACCATGTATCATATACAACACACACCTTCAAATCATGGCTTTCATTTCAATTCTCAATTGGAGTATAGACTGCTCACGTAGACTTTTTTTTTTACTGAAATATCTTTTTTAACACTTCTCATACATTACTGCACGACACTCGTATCTAGTGCTGTGAGAATAAGGTACTAGGGTCTATAAATAAGACTACGCTTTGGGCACGCTCTGACCGGAGCTCAGATTATGTCGCAATACCCTTTATTTTTGGCGCGAACAATGACGTCACTGTTCACTGTTTTCCTTCTCATTTTGAGATGGATGTAGCTATAGGGCTCAAACCAACGCAAGATTGACAGAAACATCGTACTCTATCTACTTTCGAATGTTCAGTTTGTAAAAATCTGTATTTAAAAAGATATAATCTTTTTTCTTTATATTTTCTAGTTGTTAGAAGTGGCAATTGTGAACATCTGAAATGTTGATCTCTATCAAAAGTTCTTTACTCAAAACGGATCCCATATTTTTAGGGTCTACCTTCTGCCAATGAGAAGGTTTTTAGTGAGCAAACCTCTACGCCCTCTAGGATTTTCTTAGTCGGTGGTGCGAGTGCGTCAAGGTCGTCTGCAACCACAATTATTGGATTAAAAAACGTCAAAATCTGCAAGATTGTCAACAAATGGTGAAAGACTGTTACAGATCCGTGATTATAGGTATGTTGTGAAATGTATAATTGTATTTTCTTTTCATATTTTCTTCAATTTTTATTTTTACATCATTTTTTTCCCTTTGCTAATTTTTTGAAGTGGGCGACGAGCGCACAAATCGTAGGTGTAGAAGCCTTACGCCCGGGCATTGGCCTCCCTATTAAAAATTAACATGGACTGTTACGTGGATGCGTATTACAGTTCCTACATACAGGAAGAATTTTTTTATAAATCATTGGTTGAATATGCATGATTTCATCATGACTGTTGTGTTCGATGAACCGATGAACATCCCCAAATTGCCGATGTGAGATGCTTGTAGGATACTTTGCAGGACAGAATGGGAATTTTGCCATTGAAAATGGCACACACACAGAGAAAATCTATTTAAAAAACAAAAAAAAAATTAAATTTTTTCTTTTGAAAATTATATTTTATTGAGGAAAATCGTACTATTGTGTTTGCTTCTAATAGTCGTACGAAATATGACTAAATCGTACTTGAAAGTTCTGAATTGCTATAACTTGAGAGCGTCCTGGGGCTCTGCCAGCTCTGCCATGTTGTACTTACACTTTCTCACCTCATCTATTGAGCATCAACTTCAGGATCACAAGAAATAAAGGTTAATAAAAACTCTGACCAATTTTGCATGATCGCGCAATGCACATAGACGGCATAGGATTAGGAATGCAAGCAATCTCTATGGGAAGAATTTTAGGACACATACTGTAGGGTGCGCGACCAGCGCTAGTGTACTTTTGTATCCATTTTTGACCTGTAACTCCGGTGTGGGGCCTACTAATAGGGTGTCTGATCGCACACCCGATGTTGTGCGCTAAAATCCTTCCCATAGAGATTGCATGCATCCCTATGCAGTCTACGTGCATTGCGCAATGATGCAAAATTGGTCAATGATTTCATGAACAAATTGAAATTCAAACTTTTATCGCTCATGATCCTGAAGGTGAAACTCAATAAATGAGGTGTCATATGAATAATGAAAGAGCAGGTTTTTATATAGGTTTTTTCTGTCTCTTTCGTTTGTTAGCCTCTGATTTGGGTAGGGTTGGCTCCTCTCTTTAGATTTTATGAACAAATTGAAATTCAAACCTTATCGCTCGTGATCCTGAAGGTGAAACTCAATAAATGCGGTGACTCAACCTCGTGCATATTCAGTAATTTTGAACGATTGGCGCTCTACAGCATGAATGTTCATATTTGCGGCGCCGCTACAGCACATGCGTACCTTCTCTTCGCCATTTTGAATAGATGCTGCAACATGGAAGAATCGTTGGGGTAGGACTCAGAATTAGTCTATGAATATGATCACCCCCTTTTTCCCATCGAAGACTTCTTCAAATTATAATTTGAAATGGTCACCCCGATGCTCAGTCGAGTTGGGCAACCTATTAAAATTAGTCAAAATTGTAAGTAGTCTACTCCCTTTGCAGATTTAAAGATAATATCGCCTAATCGGCCGTTTTAAAACCCCTTCGGCATCGGCGCGCGTCGGAGCTTCCTGGTCTAGTGATATTGTTAGTTACTGTTGTTACGGTCCACCCTTCGCCCCTCGCCCCGGCCCCTCGACGCGCGACGCTCTCAATGAGTCAATCTCATTTCAATCGTCTCACTCTCAACTTGATATTTATTTTCTTAACGTGAATTTGTTCTTCTCTCGTTATCTTTACCACCTCAAAAACAGTGTAGCTAAATCCTGGACTTACCTTGCGAGCTGTGCCAGTTGGATTTCAACAATTAAGGCTAAGGAATTGTCGGAAGGTGCAAATTCCATGGCGTCGTGCAGATGATGTAACGTAAAGTTAACGATCTAGCTCCATAGCACGTGGGGGAGCGCGCGGCGTGCGAGCACCCAACGCACATACACGTTACGTTTGTGCACAGTAAAGCGCGAGCACGCACGCATTCATCATATCACAGATCACATTGCTCTCTAGAGAATTTATGTGGCGTGCAGCAGCAGCTGACTTCTACATGTACAACTGGTGGTACTGGTAGACCAGGGACTTGTCCCTGGGTAGACTCAACGAACGATTTCGATGGGTAAACTAGAGGTCAGTCCATGGCAACGAACTTTCGATGGAACACCAAAAGGGCCCTATACCGCTTAAAGGTTCTATGTCCCATTTGCAGGCCAAAAAAATGAAAAAGTTAAATTCCAACTGCATTTGAAAGATAACACTAATTATTTAGAACTTCCCTAAAAAACGTGGGGCTTAAAAATGTCTTCAAGTGGGAAAATATTATGACTATTAGTTGTCAAATCGACTTTAGGGCTATAGAGCCCAAAAGTAATAGTCTTGATTTTCAGACTATTGTACCGAATGGTCATAAGTTTTATGCTGCGCAAAGATTCAATCAGTTTAATCTTGGCCATCACAAGAAGTGGGTTATTGATGTAGACAAATGCTCATGTACCCTTTACAACTCTTTTCATGTACGTTATTACCAAAGAAGAAAAAAAGCCAGTCAGTCACTCAATAGTGTCTGACAGTGAAGTCTAGCAAGTAAACGGGTTTCCTTGCATAATTTGAATATGAGGACACTGTTAACGTTTAAATTTCACAGATAGGACATACATGACATATTCATAATTCCTGCAAAGTTGTACAGAATTTAAGGTTGGCTGCAAAAGGGACATAGTACCTTTAAACCCTTAGACCCTAACTGGAAAGTATTTTTGACAAATTAAGCAATTAGCTCCCAAAATGTATAGTTACACTTATCACCTGACCAGTCTTACGACAGGGGCGGATCCGGGATTTCAAAAAGGGGGGCAGTGCCGGGGGTTGCGAGAAATGTACGAAATTGCGAGAGCAAAGCGCGAAGCTTTTACGGCGCGTGGGGTCCTCCTAAAAATCTTATTTACCAGCATCCAATTTGTATATTGATGTGTTTTTGTGAGGATGCACTAATATAGAGTGATTTTTTTTTTCCACTTCATTCATGAAAAATGTGAATTTCGATAAACTATTTATATAAATGCAATGATTATGAACATACAATATTCAGAAAATAGTATCAATTCTTCAAAGTTCGTATATGAAAGATTTTGTGAAATGTCATGCATGCAATACGATACAAAGCATATACATGTAGCCTACATGGGCTAAGGCATCGGGAAATAATGTTCTGGGGGGTAGAAAAGGAGGTTAATGGGAACAAAATATATAAAGCAATTGATAAATATATAGTGGGGCAATGATATGTCACAAACTGATAACCAAATTAGCAATTTGTGTAGTGATTTCCATCCATACGTTTTCATACTTTTTCAGAACTTCCTTATTGGTTATCCGATTTTATTCAATTTGTTTTGACTCTGTTTTTCTGCATCCCGGCAGGGGTCAAGGAGCGGAGCCCCCAGAGGGGTCTGAGGAATTTAATTATACGGTCAAATGACTGAGCATATGTTGATTATTTGTAACATAGGCATGCAGGTCACTAATTGGCGTGCATGGGATCTATATAGGAGCTGAGCCCAGGTGTTTTATGCATTTAGTGACGGTCAGATGAGCATTCAGGGGCCGGCCTATAATTGGGCCCCTTGTGGGGTTCCAGGGGTCGTAGCCCCCGGGAAGCTCATGGGTTTGAGGAATTTAACTACGTTCATATGAGAATATGTTGATATTTCATGTGTGTCACTGCCGTGTTTTTGTTGCTTTTTCTTCCCTTTTGTCTATTCTCTATAAATTCTATTTTTTTATGTGGGGGAGCCCCCCTCCCCCTCCTCGATCCCTACCCCCCCCCCCGCCCCCTCCCGTACCGCGCCGCCGAATACAGTGATCTAAAGGATACAGTATTGTTTTCCTCTCCCTCCTAGTGCAATTGCCATAGACATGTAGGCTTCTAAAAAAGCATATTCATGGGCATGACTTCAGATTTGGAAATTTGTCATTTTCCGACATTCGCATACAAAAGTATAATTTACGGTAAAAACGAATCCCGGAAATCAAGTCATTTCAGCAACATTTGTTAATCACTGGTAACGAATTAGAATTAAACCACGTTTAAATTCTATTCTAAGCCCCCCCCCCCCCACACCCATCAGTATGCCAGTGTATACACTAGATAAATTTCAAATTATAACATAATTCTATAGCGCTTATTACAATGTTTCTAAGCGCTTTACATTCGGTCGGTCAGGAATCATCCTGATTTTTCAATTTTGCGAGATGTGAAGCGAACGAGGAAAAAATTTCCTTTCTTGTGGTATCAATTATATTTCGATAAAACGCAACTTAAATAATGTTACATTCTGGCGCCATTTTGAATCATGACGTGATATTTTTGCAGCCACCAGGGGCCTGAATATCACCAAATGGCTCATAATATAGTCTACACGTCGTTGCCTAAAACTACTCTGAAAGTTCAATTCCTCATCAAACTATCCAAATTGATATAAATTTTGACATATTGTAGTTTCTGATATTTATTTCGAAGGGGCAGATTGCCCAGGCCAGAGATGGATATAATATACCCCTATTGCCCTCTCGTCGAGTGGGAAAATGTTGCATTATAAATTAAGTGAAACGGATCGACCTACCTGGCCACCTGGCTGCCATGCACCGTCAGTTGCTGGCGATTGGCGACCACATCTGCACATATGTCTTCTTGTTGTCTTTCTCCATTTCTTTCTATCCTGTGTTAATATTTTGGCTTCTGAATATGTGAGACCTGTCCATTCTTTCTCTGTCTGCCTCTTTTTCTTTTTCCTTCTATCAGTTGTGCTGCTAAAGGCCGGGCTCCCACTGCCACGCAGAATGTGTCCAAAGTAACCCATCTTGAGGCGGGCCACTTTTCCAAAGAGATCTCTCTCTGTGTTTAGTTCATGTAGAACAATGAGGTTAGTTCTTTTGTCCTTCCAGCTGATTTTAGCATTTTCCTTCAGAACCACACTTCTGCTGCCATGATGCGATTTTCATCGGCTTTGAGCAGTTTGAGCAGAAACGGACACACACCAATATTTTCTGCGTCCCTTTGCTCGTAGCATGTCTTCTATCTCTCACTCCTATCTCTATTGTGTGAACGCTACACCGAGGAGGAGAGATCGAATCATCTCCAATGCATTTTCGAATGTCATAGCTATAAACCTTTGTATTCTTGAACAATTAAACGCACAAAAGGGCAATCGATTACCTTGGCATTCTTTCGAGGAGCCGAGGGGTGACAAAAACATCTTGTCAAAGCCCTTATGTTAACATTTGGGTATGTAAATGCAGCTGCTTTGAGTTTGTCTAAACCTAATTTTGTGAACAAACATACAAAAGGCAATAGAGTGGTGAAGTGAAATGTGACGTCATCAAAAACCGATTTTTGGAATTTCTCAATTGAATGTTTTCTTTATTTTCCGAAAGAGCACAAAAAAATAATGTCTGAACGTCGAAAACCAATTAAATATATGTATTGGCTGAGATATGACCATCTGCATAACAAGATTCCCTATAGGAACTCAGTTATATTGCTCTGTTTCATAACATATTCAATTGGTCTTCGACATTCGGTCATTATTTTGTATGCTCTTTTGGAAAATGAAGACAAAATTGAGAAATTCTCAAATAGATTTGTTTATGATGTCACGACTTCTGGTTTGCCTAATTATGATTTCACCCATCGACCCCGGTTATCTTCCAAGGGCGGTGGGATTTTGCTTCTCTATAGATCCACGGCTCGCTGTACCTTGAACAACAACAATGATTTTGCATCTTTTGAATTACTGGATGTCACACTCAATCTGACACCTTCATCTGCTGTAAGGTTGTACTGTATTTATCGACCACCCCCGTCTGCCAATAATAATCTCTCCAACGGCACATTCTTGGATGAATTTCCAACTCTCCTTGAAGGTGCTGTTGTAGATGATCATTTTCCTCTATTATTGGGTGATTTCAACATACATGTTGATGATCCCAATGATAATTTTGCAAAATCTGTTATGACATGTGTTGATTCGTTAGGGTTCAAGCAACATGTTCGTGAACCAACCCATCGCGCAGGTCACACTCTAGATTTGATTTTCACAAGGAATTCGGATGATGTCTGCAACGTGAACTCGCTATCTTCCATGCCTTCCGACCATTGTGCACTTGTCACCACTGTCAATATCGCAAGGCCGAAGAATCCCAAGAAAGAGGTTTCCTTCAGGAAATATCGCAGCATTGACAAGGACTCTCTACGCAACTCTATTGACACAATGTTCCATTCACTTCCTGATCTATCTTGTCCATCTGCTTCCGCGGAGCATTACAACTCATCTTTGCGGACGTTGATTGATGAGCACGCTCCAATCCAGGTCAAGACTGTATCAATCAGACCTGATGCGCCATGGTTTACCGATGATATCCAGGAAGCCAAGAGGCGAAGGCGTCGTGCGGAACGTCGTTCGATCAAATCTGGACTTTTTGTTGATAGAGAGCTGTACCGCCGTGAATGCGAGTCATATTATGAGTGCATCTTCAATGCGAAGTCAGCGTATCTCAAAGATCTCATCAAGAATGCTGACACTAAAGAACTGTTTCGTCTTGTGAAGACACTCTCAACGCCCACTCAATCTTCACCTCTTCCAGATCATTCTTCTGATAGTGAACTCGCCAACAGATTTGCTACATTCTTCAGGGAAAAAGTCGCCAAAGTTGTATCCTCTTTCCCTAATGTAGTACCAGCACCAGCTTCAAGATCTTTTGCTCCAGGCCCTCGTCATGAACTCTCTGATTTCTGCCTTGTATCCCTCTCACAAGTCAGGAAGCTCATCACTTCACTTCCTTCTAAACACTGTAAGCTAGATCCGATTCCTACCTGGCTTCTAAAGGAAGTCCTCGATGAACTCCTTCCTCACATAACCAAACTGTTCAATCTCTCGTTATCATCCGGAATAGTTCCAGAGTCTTTTAAGACTTCTCTGCTTCTTCCCCTCCTAAAGAAGC